AATAAAACTCAAGTGAACTTTTTGCTGGGCCAATAGGTCAATGGGATGATGAATGCAAACTTTTGCTTGTTGAATGCTCCTATGTGACTAGGAAACTGAAAGCAAACAGTAAGTTTTTGTTCAATGCAGCAGGATACAATTGTATGATTTGATGCAGTTAATACCACATTTTTCTTATAGGCTTACATGACTCAGAATTTCTTCTATTCTCTTTGAATTTGGGCTCATCTGTGCTGCACTGCTGACATTTGTTTCTCTTTCCCAGCTGCAATACTTTTGGAAATCGAACCACTATCTCAGGTTTCCCTCACTAATGAGTCTGAAGGGTCCAGTTCCTAACTCCACCAAAATCAAGCATTACTCAGTAGTATAGTATTTATTCAAGAACATGGTGTTCACCTCAGCAGGAGCGCATGACATTTGGCTACAACTCTGATCATCATGTCATGATTCAAAAAAGCAGTCACAATTAATCTTTAAAACAAGACGGGAACTCGTCAAGCACATTTTTTAAAGCTGAATCACACTTCTGAGCCTGCGTGTTGCTCTAAGGTTTACAACTACAGTTTGCAAATACTCATAGATCTATGTCTGGTACTAGAGATCCCAATTGCCTATGGATTACTTTTCTAATAAGCCATCATCCATTCACCATAGATAGCATACTCAACAAGATTTCATGGAAGAAACCAGGACATGTGCCATCAAGTAACTTCAGAGTGTAGTCAAAATATATCTCTAGGGAAAGGAAAGAAAATGTCATTAATAAGGAAGAATAGAACTACTGATTTCAGAATCAAAATGGTGCAATTTATGTGATGACTTTGAGAAAACCTGGAGAAAAAGATGAAAAATACAATATTGTATGTATAAAATATTACTTTAAAATCAAAATGGCTTTATCAGATCTGCTCAAAATTACAGGTTTGGCTCAGATCCACTGTATAAACTTTGTATTCACACCAACCCCATTTCTCCTGAATGTACATCACAAATCATATCAAATACCAATTTGCCCATAATATAATACTCAGATGATTACCTTGAGCCAATTGTACCATTTCATTCCAACCTACTTCACAAGGTTGTTCATAGAATGAAAATGGGGAGAAAGTTGGGGAAGGCTGGGGAATAATGTGCAACAATTGGGCTGTATGGATGGGATACAAATGTTGTAAATAAATAAATAACAATTTTAGCTTCAAGAAAAGATCAACTGATATGTGGGCAAAGCTCTGACCCTCACCATGATTTTGAATGATGCTAGAAGTGAATAAAACCTTGGCATAAATATGTACTATGTTTTTGGTGGTCCCAGTGACTATCGCTTGCATTTCCTTCCATTGAACTACACTTCATTTCTTCTATTTGGAGAACTGAACTTTTTATCCCTGTTTTCTGCTCCCTGCCTAAAATAAATTCTAATCCATAAGAAGGCACTTAGGACCTCACCCCATGCATTCAGGGCTCTGTTTCCAAGTGTGTCAGAAACTGGGTCCCAGGGAGGCCATCACATGACGTAAGGGCACTTCCGGTGGGATTCTGTGGGACTCCGTTTCCAAAGTGCATGGGAAAGGTAGCACTCAACTCCATACTTACCAATTAAGCATTCTAGGATGCTTGCCAGTCAGTTGATAGATGGATGGGCATGCAGCCCATCACACAATGTTCCTCAACCTCCGGTGGAGGCCTTGCCCCCAACCAGCATGGAAGTGTCCTAGGACACATCTTCATCAACATGGGAAGGCTCCCGTGTTATGCTGGAGCTTTCCTATTTTGTCCCGGTTGACCAACGCTTCCTCCATATGATTGGGGAAGTGACACCTACCATTTTTGCCACACTTGCTGGCAAAACAGCTCAGGGGAAGGGGGGGGGGTCATGTGATAAGGTCTTAAGACAGCAGAAGTGGTGGGAAAGATGGGGAAATGTTATGGCTGGCCATCCCAGAAGACAGGCCTCAACACTAGGGAACAAAGACGGTTCTTTCCACTTTCCCTGCTTTACCCCGCTCATGGAATGAGGTCCATACTCAGTGTTTTGTTGTTTTTAGTGAGGGACTGTGTCAAAGGTTTTTGAAAAGTGCTGATAATCAATCAGTTCTTCCAGACTGGTCTAAAGAAGTATGAACTCTTACCAGTGCAGCATTCTTATTTTTGACAGATCTTACACCTTATTATTGCTTGACACTCACTTGTTCCCTGTCCATTGGGTCTTTTCATTTCTTTTTCGAGGCTTCCTTGGATCAGTTTCTTGCAATTTCTTGGATCTGAACTAGGTTTTTTACAATGGGGTGTGTTTTGCTGTGGGCAGCCCGTGGTCTATGTTTTGAAATGGTCTTCTCTGGGACTTTTTATTTATTTATTTATTTATTAGAATTATAGTATTATAGAATTTCCGCAAAAAAACATGTTATGTCATTATTTCAATGGGGCATATAATTCTACAATTCTAAAAATAAAATGAGAAAGGGGGAGAGAGGAGGATGAAACAGGAATTGCCATTGCCTTTATCTCCCCTACTGTCCATCTTGAAATTCTCCAGCAATTAGCATGCAAACTCAGTAGCTATCATAGGGGGATGTCCCAAAAATCCAACCGGAACTATAACAAGAGATAGACATGTATCATATATCTCAATTTTTTTTTTTTAAAAAAAAAACATTGGAAGTCAGGAATAAAAAGTTGCAGCTATTTTCAGGCTATGCCAGCAAATAGCCCAGGATTACAAAATTGTTTAGATACTCTTGAAAAAGAAGGACTGTAGCTGCAAATATCACAACCTTCAGCAGTTTTCCAGTTCCCAAGCAGTTTTCCATTGTCTACTGGAGCTGTATGAAATCCATCTCTATGAACTTGTTGACACAATGGACTCTAAAATGACAGACAGACTTTAACATTGCAGAAGACACATTGTCTGTTCTTCAACAAGCCTTCTCAACCAGTTTAGTTGGCATAGATATTAAGCTAACCAGCCCATGAATCCCCATGCTGGGTCTTTGTTAAACTGACATAATTATTTCAAATCCCTATTACCTGCGTGAGGGACAAAACACTGCATATGAACCAGATCAGTCTATTAAAAAATCTCAATGGAGAAGAAGTAGCAACAGGAACAGTTATGTGTTAAAATCCGTGGTGGTAACTGACTTCAAATTATGGAGTTTTAATGAAAAACTGTTCAAATGATGCTCAGAAATCACATAGATCATCTGCAAGCCTGTTGCACTGTGAATAGTAACTGCAGTCCCATGTGATTGTGATTCTCATTGCCTGTGAGAACACAAGGAATATTCTTCCATAGAGTTGCAGATTTTTTAAAAAAATGACCTTTGATTCCAGTTCAAAGCAGTGTCTTAAAAATTTGCCAAGATGCAGAAATGTTGAAATGGTTTTTATTTGCTGAACAAGAGAACAAATAGAGAACATAGGTTTTCAAAAAGCTGAAAACACTCTTTCATTGCAAATAAAACGCAACTTTGAGAGGCTGTACTTGTCATTGGAAAAAGTAGCTTTTCAGAGTTTCCTTAGCACTTAAGTGCACACTCGTGATTGCGTAAATCCCTTTCACTAGGATGCCTGAGAAAGATTGATTGTCACAAGCAGTTGAAAAATAGTACCAAGACATTATTGACCCACAACCCTTCCCACCTTAAAAACTTCTATAGGTTTAATAATCCTAAAGTTTTCTGGCATACATTTTGTTTAAATATTTTAAATGAGGTAAAGACCACTTTTCCACTTTATGTCATAGCATCTTATGTAGTTGTCCCCTTGTACTGCTGTCTCATCGTTGCACCCCCCAACTTTTCTTATTTCATTTTTTTGAGGAATGTTCCCACTCACCAGCACCACAGGGTACATCACACCCACTCACACCCACACATATGAAAATCTGTCAGTTTTGCTGTCTCCCACATTTGCATTAAAAACAACAGCTTGAAGTTCTTCTTTGCATATATGCCACTAGCATTTTTTTTGGTAAATTCTTCTGAGATTAACTGAACTGAAATTCTCCCCCATTTGTATGGGTGAAATTTCATAAGCACAGTTACTTCTACAAAGAAGACTGCTGCACATTTAGATATTAAAGGTGATATTATGAGAAAAAAAGAGGTGGTGGCAACTCAAATTCAATACTAACATGACACACAAGGATTTACACCCCAAAATTTATTTTAGCAAAAATTCCCAGGGTCAAATTTGCCATTTTCTTCTTTCTACTGTATTTACTTTGTATCATCTCAAAAGGAGCCCCTGGTGGTGCAATGGGGTCAACGCTTATGGTGACAGGACTGCAGATCAAAAGATCGGTGGTTTGAATCTGAGGAACGGGGTGAGCTTCTGTCTGTCAGCTCAAGCGTCTCATGAGGGGACATGAGAGAAGCCTCCCATAGGATGGTAAAACATCTAGGCTTCTTCTAGGCAACGTCCTTGCAAACGGCCAATTCTCTCACAACAGAAGCGACTTGCAGTTTCTCAAGTCGCTTCTGACATGGAAAAAAAACACCCTCAAATGTAAAACAAAATAAAAAGAAACTGAAAAGAAATTCTCATCTAGGGAGAAAGAAAGAAACATAGAAAGGATGTGCAAACACCTTGAACAAGCATTGTTACTGTGCTATTCTATCTCCTGCAAGAAAATTTCCACTCACCATTACATTTGGGCAATGAGCATACTATTGTTCCAGGAGCAAGCAGCTCTATAGCATTAAGCAACATTTTTTTGCCAAGGCCAAAAAAAAAAAAAGTCTATTGTAAACTTCCATGCTGTTCTCCTCATGTTAGATTACAAAATGCACACAAATGTAATTTTGCATTTGTAATTTATCTTGTAAACTTCCACAAAACAGCTACTTAAATCATTCTCATGCATTTATATCTTCCAGGATATTTAACAAAGGTAGATAAATTGAATAATTAATGGTAAGACATAATTAGGAGTCTAGTTAGTGGTATATTGTTTGGTAACAGGCAACTGAACCAAGGAAAGAGATAAGGTGTATGAAGAACAAAGAAAAAACCAGTTTATTATCTGAATAACACAAGATGCTTCCACAAGAAAAGTGTTATCTAGAAGCACAGTAAGACAGCTAAATGGTACACCATTTGGAGGCATTTATTTTGTCTCATCAAGTTCAGCTTGAATTACTTATTGAATTAATGCCATCAATGAGAAACACACATGAACATGTTCATCTTATCTCATCTGTCTCTCCAAATATGATCGTTCATCACTAAGGCAAGGCAGGGCAAGTGTGCATATGGTACTTTTCTCCAGCACAGTGATGCTGATTTGATGGCTGCCATTTTCTTTTTCCTGACTGCTTGAGTCATGGAAGCTGCCAAATGGTCTACAATGATACAAGATATCCTGAGGAAATAAAATGGTAACCAACATCAACAATGTTGTTGCTTTTACTATGGATGATAGACAAAGGAAGGGCGGGAGGGAGGGAAGGAGAAAATAAATACAATTTTAGAAATGAATTTCTAGAGAATAAGAGTCATTACTCCTGTCTCTACCATAAGTTTACTTTATAATTGTACTTGCACTCTGCTTAGCAAAAGGCCAATCTTATAATCTGCAGTAATGATTAGAAATAACAGAAATCCAGTTGGGAGGGAGAGAATTGCTAAGGACAATTTTGGGAGGCGGAAGGGCAAAGTACCAAGAGGTTCTGCTCCAATCCAGGGTACTGATATAGAGATCTAAAAGACAGAAGCAAGACAGCATCCTTGTAAGACAATTCAAATGACCGTGCCACATGAAATTTTGTGTGTCATGTTTCCTAAGCCAGATTTGCTGCTCCTTAAGGAAGGCAATAGACTGTATAGTTATCACCTGAAATGGGATGTAATCCCTCCCACAAACTATACAACCTACTACCTCACCTCCACAAAGCAGGATAGAGGCTTCATATGTTTTGCAACTGCTGTTAGAACTCTGAGGCATTCTTGACTCTTCAGGGCCAAGTCTTGCTGCATTTTCAATGTGCAGAATCCTGGGCTGGGTGTCAAAGTCTTCTTGTCTGCAGCAGCTGATTTGAATCCAAGTAGACCAGCATCAGGCGAGGATGGTTGCATAGCAGCAGATGACTTTACTGTCTCCTTAGGAAAGACAGTAGATTGTATAGTTAGCTCAGAGGGAGAATAAGGCTCCACAACTATTCAATCTACTACCTCAGCCTCAAGGACAGCATCATTTTGTTGATAATAGATGGCCAAGTTGACAAGGTAATGGCTAAGAAGGACAGTGATGGCCTGGTGCCTTCAGGAAAAGGAGACTGGTGAAGTGGAACCTGAAAAAGGAGAAAATTATGAAATGTAAGTAAATGCAATCACATTGAGGCAAGCTGTTTCCTTGACTAGAAGAGACATTAATTATTTTATATTTTACTGCAAACTTATATAATTTGACACTGTATTTTAAAGTAAAGTTTATTAATGTCCATCCTGATATTTAAGTATATTATCTCCCAACAAATTTTATTAGAAAAAAAAAACAAATCAAATTTTTAAATCTAGTTTTAAACACTTTACCATTAAAATACTACCACTAACCATAAAAAACAGCTGCCTGCCAGAGGCTCAAAATGCACAGAGCACCTTGGACACGGGTTCCACAATCCCAACACTACGACAGAGAAAGGCCGGCCTTGCAGGATCACCATCCTAGCCTCTCGGGGCAAACTCAATTCTTCACAAAATTCACACAAAATTTGGTAATTCAGTTCTCCAATCAAAATATATTTATTGGAGGGAAGTATCTATACATTTTCAAATAGTAATGAAATTAATATCTAAATAGTATTGGGAATATTACTTGCAGAAACATGTATACCCAGCACAATTTCACTGAAAGATGCATACAAATTTCCACACAGAACCATAAATAGAAAAAATTGCAAAGGGAGAGAAACCCAAACAGAGAAGAATCCATCCCTAATTTGCTTTGTTCTAATTTCCACAGACTTTCTTTTAAGAAATAGTTCATGATATTGGAAAGGAAAACAACAGACCAACTATAAAGATGAAAGCTGTAAAAAAAAAACAAAACACAAGCACATAAAGGACTGGATCCAGCAGAATCTGCCTTCTATGGACAGAAGGGTTTACTCACAGAAGGTGCTTTTAGGAGTTTTCCCCTTACACCACAATCTACCCTATTCCCTAAAAACTTTTGGAAGGGAGAAGGGGCTGCCATGGGGAGGATGGTATGGGAATTATACTTCTGCTAGCCAAATTGCCCACTCCTGAATCAGTGCATTAAATGTTGAAAAGTCCTGAAGAGAAGAACAATTGACTATTTTTTCACAGTTCAGAACTAATTTTGTGAAAATTTATTTATGCAGAAAATGATTGTTTTGGTGCATAAAGCAGTACAATAATGTAAAAATAATAATAATAATAATAATAATAATAATAATAATAATTTTATTTCTTACCCACCTCTCCCCATGGTTCTAGGTGGGTCACAGCAAGATAACACCTATGTGCAGAAAATGATGTTTTCTTTGTAAATCAATAATGTGAATTTTTTTGCAAAATAAATTTCCAATTGCAGAATTTTCTGTGAAGAAAATAGTATTTTTTTGCAGAAAAAATAGCATTTCTACTATTTTCTCTGTTGAACATTTCATATGCAGTAGTGAAGAAAAATATGTGGCTTCCTGTGCATAAATATTATTATAATAATCATTGATATTATGTTTATGTTTATTTATATCCCACTTTTTCTCTCCATAAAGGAGCCTCAAAGTGGCTGTAGTTTTTGCAAAACAACCACATGTGGTTTTTTTCTCAGAATAAGTCTTGAAGTATGAATAGGCTTCAAAAACTCTGTAGTTTTTGCAACTGGAAGTGTATTGCTAAAATGACTTTCCTTCAAGAAAATTAGTGAAGAGCAGCAAATTGCATTTTTTCAATACCTCCAAATCAGCTTTGAAAGATGACCACTGTACCTATTTATTTGGTTAATAAATATTCTGCCTTTGGTGACTTTGATAGATTATAGCACTAACCTAGTATGCAGCATTAAGATGTGTGTAAATCTGGTGTGCAGCCAGCTGAAGTTGGAAATACATAACTTAAAATACAATTTTCTCTTTTCTTTGTTAAATTAAAAACTGTGATCCAGAAGGAAAATCTCACAGAACATATTACATAGGTAGTCTTTTATTTGTTAATTCAGAGTTATTGCATTCATTACCAACCAATGGATGCAGCTGTCATGATAGCTAACATACAACTTCATTATTAATCTCTTTGATTTTGGGGAGAATAATAACTTCAAGGGTGCTGTGTATGGTATAAAAGGGGATGAACAACTTCCCCTTTTCCATTTACCTGGGAGTAAGGCTAGCTGAATGCAATGTGATGTTATTTTAATTCGTGTGTGAAGAGGGAAGGTGATAGGCCATGTGCAACCTGCAAAAACCCTCCCAATGTGTTTCTCATCCGCCAAACCTCATGTTGATCACTTCTGGTTTGAAATGGGGTTTGGAATTGGGCTGAAAAATGGGAAGATGTGGCCACTGAATATTCCATAGCTGTCTTACTCTGTTCTAAGTAGACTATGACAGGATTGTGCAGTATATTAGCAAGGTGATACTGCTGTAGAAATTAGTATTATTGCTAACTAGTATATTAACATAGGGATCACAACCAAAACATAGGAAGCATCAACATGGTTAGATACTCACTCCCCCACATCCCAATAGTCTTCACAATTTTGAGGAGATGACAAACTCAGACTCCAGGTCCCTTTCACACTACAGTAGAGTCAAGATTATCCAATATAAATGGGCCAGCAGAACGTTGGATAAGCGAAAATGTTGGATAGTAAGGAGGAGTTAAGTAAAAGCCTATTAAATGTCAATTTAAATTACAATTTTACAAATTAAATACTAAAACACCATCTTTTACAACAAATTGACAGAAAAAGCAATTCAATATCCAGTAACGTTATGTAGTAATTGCTGTATTTACGAATTTAACACCAGAACATTGCAATTCATTGAAACAGCTGTGGATCCGGGCGGGAGACACACTGCGTTAGATAATACAGACTTGGCTCTTTGAGCAAGTATTCGGAACCTCAGGATAAACAGACAAACTTGAATCAGATAGGTTGGATAAGTGAGACTCTACAGTATATAGTTAAGGCACAATTTAGCTGCTGTGGCAACATCCTATGGAATTTTCAGTTTACAGAGAAATATTTAGACTTCTCAGACAGAGGGCTTTAATGCTTCACAAAAGGACACATGCTGGAATTCCATGAAATGCTGCCTTGGAAGTTAAAATAGAACCATAGTGCTATAACTGTATAGTGTGTAAAGGCTTAGCAGTTTAAAAGAATTGAAGACAATTCCTTTTTAGATAAGATCACCACTACAGTTCATAACAGGGTGGAACTATAGGGTAAAGAATTGCAGTCCTCCAGGGTGATCCTATGGTAGCCTTCAGTAGAAACATTCTTTAGAATTGCCTGAAAGACCTGGAAAATTTCTATTTAGGGTTTGCTTCATTTATACCCTGCCTTTCTTACCCCGCAGAGGACTTTAGGTGGCTTACAACTCTGGCAAAATTCAATGCCACTTAAAAACATAACAATAAAACATATCCCGCCAACTTAAACAATTAAAGCAGTTGAGCAAATAAAACACATAGAACAATAAGCCGATTAAAATATATAAAGTGTATAGTTCCATTCATCCATCATCCTTGCTCATAGTTCTTATTCAACCAGGTCTTTAGTTTTTTTCTGAAAACCAGAAGAGGTGGGGGCTGCCTGCTGTCACTAGGGAGGAAATTCCAGAGCCAAGGGGCCACGATTGAGAAGGCCCTCTTTCTCATCTCCACCAATCACGCTTGCGAAGGAGGTGGGATTGAGAACAGGGCCTCCCAAGGTGATCTTATGTTGGCTCATAAGAACCATTTGGGGCTTTATAGGCCAAGACCAACACTTTGAACTGGGCTTGGTAGCAAACTAGTAGCCCAAGGACATATTTGTTAGATACGGATAAGTGAAATAGCAGCACTGGTCCTGCTTTACAGTTGGTGGAATAGTCAATAACATAATCAATATCATGATTAATCCTTTTGCTTTGGCATCAATAGTCAATGTAATAATCAATATCACATTAACTGGAGTCAGTTCAAGTACATTTAAGATACATATATATATAATTAGATATTTAATAATAATAATAATAATAATAAAGTGTAACTGGTGGGTTTTGTTAATAACAGGAGAAAATTACACAAAGTTGATTACATTTAACTAAGAATTACTTCAATTTCTGCCTTTTGGATTTTAAAAATTAAATTAAAATAAATAATAAATAAAATAAATAATGTCATCTCTTAAAATATCTGGCTATAGGGGAAAGTGGCCTGGAGAACCAATGCAGTTGCCCACCTCTGGATTGGCAAAGGAGCAAGAATCGCCTGATATAGTCAGATGATATCTCTCAGTGGGAATTAATTGGTGGGAGATTGCTTTGTGACACGCAGAAGGGGGAGAACGCTTCTTTCCCTCTCTCCATTTAGGATGATGTCATCTAGGTCTCAGCATGAAAAGAAACAACAGAAGCTGTAGCTTTCAGCCAGGGAGCAAAACAGCCAGGGAGCAAGATGGACAGAGAGGCTGAGTGAGCTAAGCTCGGTGAACGAATGAATTTGCCTCTCTAGAGAGCTAAGGTTTGCTTTGTTGTGATGTTTTACGTGCTTGCCTCAACCAATGCTCAGCATGGAATATTGGTAAATAAACTCAAGTATGTCCAGACATCTGAGTGATGCCATTCCACAGAACATTTCAGAGAGGCAGGATGCACAAGTAGGTTCAAAACATCCTTACTTTACAGATAAGAAAAAAAAGTTGTGTATCATAGAAGTTTCACCAAAATGTTAGTTATTAAACACAATGGCTACACAAATCCTCTTTAGAGCTGCCACCTGTCCATTTTAAGTGAGTGTGCTTATTTTTCAATCCATCCCTAGTGCTGCAATAGTTTTATATATTTACCATATATTTGCACAAGATAGTAAACAAGAGAATTATCCATTGTACTCCTGCTTTTTTCCACTGTGAAACTATTATTCTCAGCATCGAGTGCTCTAGATTACTGCTTCTAAAACGGTGGGTTCTGATCCCAAATGGGGTCCCCTTAGCTCAATGCTGGGGTCACAAACAATTCAGGAACAGTAAAAGTTTTCTGAATATCACCTAGTGGCTGTTTAAGGCCCCTTCTATGCCGCTGAATAAAATCCCACATTATCTGTTTTG